GTTACTTGAGGACCCATCTTTCTGACTTTATTTTCGTTTGCACTGAAGTCAATTTTTTTCTCTCCTCCAGTTCTGGTAGATGTTCATCAATATACCAGAAGAGAATGTACTGGCCAGTAGTCATAGTACTCATAGATTTATTCAGTTTTAAACATCCAATAACTGGATACATCAGAGAAGACAAAGGACCAGAAAAAAAGTTGAACACGCTCTTTACTTAAAAATGCAGAGATGCTCAGAATCAGTTTAGGATCTTATCTATTCACTGACAAATTTGAAGAGGGTCTGTTTCTGGGTGGCTCAAACAGCTGACTGATAAGTAATTTAGATCTTTCTCCTTACTTGAATGACTCTCAATGCTACTTAAATTGCAAGGCAGCAGACATTTATATTTTGTTTCTGCAGTTAATTTATATACTTTTTCTCTAGATTTAGAGTGTTTAGAAACTCTAGAAAAAAAACTTTCAACAGCAAGGCTGTCACACAGCCTTCTCAGCAAGAACAGCCTGCAGTCTCACATTAGATGAATGTAGAGATGCAGAACAAGACTAATCAAACCCATTTTCTAAAACTAAGGAAATAATAACTGTAATATAGAACAATCTCAGTATTACAGGTAATATAAAACCATCTCCATTAGATTAAGGAATCATTGGCAAAAGAAATACATGAAATAATGTTCTATCACATTTTCCCCACCTTACACTATCAAACTACGTGTGGCTCAAAAGTTCTTTGAGTGTGATAGAGTTTGGTATGCATAAAGAAAGTTCCAGAGAGAAGCCAGAAACTGTTAACATACAGTATGTAAAGTTTAAAATTAAACGAAATTATAGCCATGCGAAAAAGCTGTCATTTGAATGACAGGCTTTTTTCCCATGAATTATTCACAGGTTTTGGTTTCTTATTAAAAGATGCAGGAGCTGACTCGAGGTTATATCTGCAACCCAGATAGATTATATTCACCACTACCTGGAAAAAATCCTGTATAGGTGAAACTACAATTTATTAATAAACATAAAGGGAAGCAGTGATGTGCAGAGCAGTTCTGCCACAGAGGATACTGGGTAAATGATGCAGGAAATTAAAGAAGTAAAGTAAGGAATAGAACCTGCAATGAATCTTGACAGATCTCTTTTGGGAGACCATGATTCCCATCTAGTCTACATTTCAAGTGTTGCACTTACTCCCTTGATATCTTACTGTCCTGTCACAGCTGGGACACATCCTTATATTTTGGTCAGTTACTACAAATGGTGGGCAACCAAAACAATCCAGAGCAAAAGATGTAGGCCAAAAATGGTCCCTTCTAGCAGTACTAGTGATTGTTTTCAGTTGGGAACCATAAAGAAACTGATGTCTGCTTTTTTTTTTTTCCAGTACTGAAACTTTTCTTGGAGGAAACCTCAGCTGTGAACTTAAACTTATGAGTAAAGGCAACTCGTATTGATTTTTATCCCACAAACCTTAACAAGTTTATGCAGTTTCTGAAAGGGGGTGTTGACAGGATCCTTGAACGAATTACAATGCCAGAGAACAAAAGAGGAACTATGATCTTTTATTGAAGAACTGATTGCCCTAATTCAAAGACACTTCCAGCTTTAAGAAACCTTTCTACAGGAAATGCAATTTTCACATGTCAAGATATATTTCTTTTTTTTTTTTTTTTTTTGGCAAGTCTTGTTCAGTCTGTTGTAGCTGACTGTAGAGTAGAACACAGAAGCCGATGTTCAATACATGGACTCTTTAATCAATACATCATGAAATGGTAAGGATCTGTAATCAAGGCAGCGCATGAACCAAATAGTCTCTTAGTGCTAGTCAATAAATATATGTCTGGAGTGCTTGAAATTCTGCTCCTTACTTCACTGGGTTCCATTTATGACAGAATAGATAATCTGTCCAGTCTGATACGCAAATCAGACCACCCTAAGAAGCCAGTTATTCATATAAAGTGTTCTTTAAAAATTTTGAGATGTTTGTTCTTTTATGATGAAGTAACATCAATGTTCTCCAATGGCCTTTACATTAATGGCTATAATGTTTTATGCACAGAAGCACAGCATCATATTCAAATTCTGCAGGAACAGTTAACACAAAATACACTCCTGCAAGATTTGACACTTGTTTGTGTACAACAGAAAGCTGGACCAAAACAACACCACCACAACAAAAAACCCCCTCAGCTCAACATTTTTCACATCATGAATGGAAAGTCTCCTCTTTTCTGTTAATACCACTATCATTATTTTTCCTAATGTCTACTACTTTGTATTACACTCACAACAAAGTGTTTTAGAGATCAATTAAATGCCCCAGCTCTGCTTCGATTATTAATCGGTCTGAACAAAAGGTTATTGCTTTGCACACCACAAAGAAAGACAGATTATTCTTTTATTGTTTAGGCTAGCTACACTCCTGCCAGTGCCATTGCCACTGTTCCTAAGCATTCTTACTCAGCAAATTTTCACTTGTACCAATCTTAAAGAATAAACAGAAATCTTGGAGCTTTATACATATCAATCAGCTTTCTAATCTAATCCCTCAACCTTTCTCTTATGAGATAATAATCATATAATGCATTAATGCACTAATTCACAATGACTTCTGTCCTCATTGAAGAAGGTTGATAATATTTATATCTTTTTAAGACTTTTTCCTCTGCCCCTTGTTCAGGCACAATACATATAATCTCTACTTCCATCACTTCCACAGAAGTGGTTACAATTAACAGGTAAGTACTCAAGTTGCATCTTCTCACACAAAAAGGGGGGGGGGGGGGGGAGAAGAGGGGCAAGGCTTGGCACTGTAATGCACACATGGGAGAAGTGCTGCAGGAGTAGACTGTAATGAAAAAAACAGGATAGAGCAGTACAAATCAATAAGGATAATCAGAAAAACTAATTCAAAATGAGAACTGGAAGGTGATGAGAAATAAATACACGAAATTAACACATGAAGTGCGAAAAAAATGTTCATATTCAACAAGATGTAAATATGAATGCCTCATGAGGCAAGTCTTCCACTTCCCTGAGTAGTGCCAGAATTGGCATAAGGTTATACCTCACAAGCAGACCAACAAAATGAAGAGCTTTAGAAAACAGTTTCTGAGGAAAATGTAAAACAAAGAAACAAAAACAAGAAAAAAACCCACTGTTTGTCTACTATGGGCATCCAGAAATTGAAAATGCATATTAGTAAACAGTAAGAAAATCTACTGCAAATATAAAAGGAAGACATGAATTCTGCATCTACTGAATAGGACAAGAATGGTGACTTTTCAAGGCTGCCAGTTAAATTAATCAGAAGACAAGAAAGGAGGGAAGATCTGGAACATACTACTTAGTGCAATTTTGAAAATATTTCACCCAAAGCTAACAAGAAGAGATAAAGATTCATGGAGCAGTTCAAAGGATTAGATGACCTCCCAAGTTTCCCTCAGCCCAGTTGTTTTCTGATTATGTACATACTTGGAAGCAAAATATTTACAAGAATTGCTGCTAATGGAATTCTCAGATTTATCAGAATGAAAACAGTTAATTTTATATGAAACATTTGCAATAAATATTTGCTAAGATACTGATGCAAAATTTGGAAAACAGTGCAAATACAATTCTTCATTGTTGTGACTTGGGAATGGTTGCTATGTTAACATCAACACAGAGACACTGTATTCTCCAAAACTGGAACATCTGCTTTCCAAAGCCAATTCCCACTGACCACTATAAACTCATGATTATTTATAATTTTTTGGAGACTTTAACAAACACACTGTTTTTAATCTTTCTTATTTACTAACACTTTCATTTGCTTACAGAGACCTATGATCTTCCTTGCTCTGCAAAGATTCATCCTTTGAGACCTAGCTGAAGCCCATGTGGCCCTATTTCCACTTCCTGAATTGCGGGCCAAGTCAAAATTAACTTAAGAGATAATGATATTTATTAAGCAACACACTATTAAAAAATGAATATAATTATTAGTAACCAACAAGCTAATATATACATGGCTATTACTAATTTACAATTCTGTTACTTTTCACACTATTATGTTCAATTACAATACAACGCTCCTTAATGTTAAAAGCAACAACAACTATTATGGCATTGAATTACATCACTCTTAAGGTACAAGTCTATTTGTAGTCCTGGGCACATTACAAATGCCAAGTGTCCAGCCACACACTCCCAGTGGAGGAGAACACATTGCACCAGTCAGTAGCACACCTAAGAACACCGGGATATTCACAGACACACAGAGTACAAGAAGAGCTGGGAAGGTAGAACATACAGTTTTGCAGTGCTAGCAGAATTGGTTAGAGAAAATTTTTAATTTGTTACCTGCTCATTTAATCATGTGTCTGTGTTCTTGCCATGCTACTTAATGAGAAAGCTGCAATTTTTTTTTTGGAGGGGAGAGAGAAGATTCCTCTCTGTAGTGACTGCATATCTTTCTCCTCATTAGTGTTGCAAGTCCTGAGCTTCCCAGCTCAGCCCTGAAGCAAAGAGACTTCCAAAACAGTCATGCTTAACAGTCCTGCAAAACCACCCAGTTTGCATAAATGCCTGGGATTGCCCCAACCCAAGAGCATTATCCAGCAGTTCACCTTACTGAACCTCATCAGGTTTTCAAGGGGGGGGGTCACTTCTCCAGCCTATCCAGGTCCCTCTGGATGGCTTCCCTTCCCCGCAATGTATTGATTGCACCACTCAGCTTGGACTCATCTGCAAACTTGCTGAGGGTGCACTCGATGTCATCATCTATGTCATTGATGAAGACGTTGAAGAACACTGGTTTCAAGACGGACCGCTGAGGGACACTGCTTGTGACCAGCCTCCACCCTAACACAGAACCGTGTTGTACAGACGAAGTACATGAAATAGTAGAACACAAAGTATTACAAAAAAAAAGTACAATAAGAGCTTTTACATTTAAAGATAAAAAACACTTTAACTGAATTCATAGAACTCATTTTAATTTGTTTTACTATATACATTCATTTGAGAGGTTTATCAATTGTCTTCTAACATCTTAATGGTAATGGACATTAAGTTTTTAACACGACTGGTGATGTGCAGTTAAAAGTATATGCCCACAGGATAAATCAGAACCAAACCCTTTGGTAGGCCAAGATGAAGCCTCTGTACTTTCTACACTATGCTATACACACCTCTGTTGAAAGCACTGAAATTAAGCACCTAGGGCATAGACTGCTGCTGTGTAACAGAAGAACAAAGGGCTCCTTTTCTCAATCACAGCATCAGGTTGGTGCTGCTGCTGCTGTTAATAGGGATAGGTCAGGGTACCATAGCTCAGTTCTGCTGGAAGCAATGAGACTCTTCCACAAGCAACAATCAGCGCTCATTCTGTTCATAGCACAAGTTTAATTCTGTAGCTTTTATGTTGTTCTATTTTCCCCTCTCTATTTTTCCCCTGCAGTTCTCTATTCTACTTGACCATTTCCCCACACCCTTTCCACTTTCATAGCAGCAGGCCAGCACCTGACCCTCTTCCCAGAACAGCTGAATTTTGCCTTGTGGCTGTCACAGCAACCAGACTAAAATAAAACAGCTTGGAGGGAGCTAACATCTTCTAACAAGACAGAAGCTGAAACATGCCAAGAACATCTTAGATTCACAATTATGTATAAAGTTGGCCAAAAAACTAAGACTGTTTCAAACTATTTGCAATGCAAAAAGTACTCCCACCCAGTGCATTATTTTTATTTCAGAATTCTGCTAAAGCACTCCCTGACCAATTTGTCTTGTCTCCCTTCTGTTTCAGATCTACTAAGAAGTGAGACCAAGGTCTCCCTGTAGACAATATCTGTTTCCACAGAGGAGGAACTGATCTATCTCATTTTTCTATTTGTCTAACATGTCCAGTTTCAAGTTCATTTCTGAAATTTAAAATGCACCTTCAAAATTTCACTGTCATCATCCGTTACATATTGACTTGTTCTGAATGCCTGCACTATGCACCATGAAAAGAGGAAAGACTTGGGAAACAGTAAGAATGCTCAGAACTATGTGATATAGAGAGGAAGCATGACACAGGGCAGTGCTGAGAAAAAGACAACTACAAAAGGAGCTCAAAAGGAGACTGTACCTTCCCCTTCTTGGGAATACAGAAGATGCAGCCAGACCTGGCTGTGTGGTTTTCTCCTGTTCAAAATGAATAATAAGTCGAGTGAAGCTATGACTGGGAGAAAGAACGTGCCCCTAAAGGATGCAGAAGAGGCAGAGGGAACACAGATGTATGTCTTCCAGTTGTGCTTTATCTTACATACATTTAAAGACTTAGGCATTTCAATGGATATTCAATGCATGTCCCAGATTTTCCTGATTTAAAAGCCTTTTTATCTTTGAAGAACTTACTGTAAGGAAATAACTGGAATAGGTTCATCTCAAAGTTCCAACTAGATCTGCCAGTGTAGAAACTACCCAGTCTAAATGTTGACAATAAGCAGCACCTTCATGCTTCTAATCCATATTTACAAATATAGATTGGTTTTATTTCAGGATTATATCTAACTATGAAGAACTTGATAAAATATATTTTGAATACTGTCCCACTGGATTTATTGCTACGACTGCTATAAAGCCATCATGTGTCACTGAACAAACATTTTATCAATGTCTTCTATTACATTTAGGTTTGGTCTCTGCCCTCAAAGACAGAAAGGTTGGGCTTGCACATTTTACCTCTTTCATCTGAGAACTTTTTAATACCTACAGTTGAAAGAATGCTTACTTGTAAATCAGTTGACTAAGCCACGTAAACTACTATTTTTTACATATTGTTCAAAGCAATTAAACAGTGAAATGAGAACTTTGAACACATATGTTAAGAAAGAGGGCCAATAAAGAGCATGTTTTCTACATGGACATTTTCTACATTAATAAACTTAATTTCTCCTGCAACGTATTTACAACAACAAAGCTCTAAATGCTTGAAATATTAGTATGAAATACAGTATCTAAAGTAGTACATATTTTTTAGTAATCTCATACTTGAAAGAATCCCTGCCAAGTTCATGAATCACTGCTGTTTTCTTACTTTAGAAGTCAGCTGGGAAGCCAACCTCCATGCGATGCACCTCTTTTCTCATAAATGGTGGAATCCGTACAAGGTTATATAGGTAGATTTAACTAGATGCACACCATGAACTCCTGTTTCAAAAAGCTTTAGATATAACCTTGCTTTGCAGACAAGTTTCAATTTGATTACTGTGGTGAGTTGATGGACCTGGCATAATCAGTTCTTTGCCTGGTGATAGTGATAGCACTGAACCACTGTTTATAACATCTAGGTAAAATTAATTTAATGATTACTGAACAAATACAGTTTTAAAAGACTGCCCTCTAGTCCCCACAAATTCTAACCTGACTATCAAGTTAACTTAGAAACAATGGACTGCTCTGTTCCAAAATTTTCATTGGTGAACTCATCTACCCATTTAAAAGCATTTTAATAGCATGTATTAAATGATGTAACGTATATCAATAGAATACCTTAATAACACATGTAAATTGAAATTGCTTATCTTCTCACAGTGTTGGTCTAATTGTTTCTAGGGTCTGCTTTTTCTAAAAGTTTGGAACTCTATCTCCTATTTTCATTCAATAAGAACATTATTTGCCTGTGGCTCTGCTATTGGCAAGCCTATGAATATGTCTGAAAAGCACTTTGTAGCTTTTCTGCTTTTGTAGCACTTTCCACTACAAATCAACTAGAATCCACATTGATTAAGACATAATACATACACATTGATTAAGACATAATACAACATTCAAGTCAATAAACCTACTGAAAGGCAAGGTAACATTAATTCAAATTCTGTTTCATATTGTTCTTATTATCACAGATTCTGGCTGGTCCAGTGTTGACCTGGCAGACAACTGCATTTGCCTGTAAAGTAAGGAGAAATTTGATTTGTCTTCTGTTCATTATCTGAAATCGCCCACAGAACCTATTGGTAACAAATTTGCAAAGTAAAGATCTGAAAGACTAGAGGAGGCAAACAAAAAAAATACAATAGTAAAAATATACATTGTTCATGTCTAAACTGTGCTCATTAGATAATCATTTTCATTTGTATGAGGAGCACATTTTTGAGGCAAATCCCCTGATTAGACTAGAGTTTGTTGGCAACACACTGTCCTCAGCATCATGTTCTAGTCTGCATATTTATTCTTACTGCTTGCTAACTGAAACAGTCATTTGTTTCCAGAAAGCTGAGCACTTATTTCCTGTAGAGTCCCCTGGAAAAAAATATATATATGATTGCCTATTCCACAGTTCCAAACGCCTAACTACTTTTTCTCCATCTCCGTAATTTTATTTATTTATTTACTAATATGTACAAGCTCTAGTCCAGGAGAGTCTGAGAGAAAGAGTTAAACTAATGATAAAAAATACACCTGGTCTGTAGAAGTCTTCAATTCAAACCATTACATCAACAATAACATTGTATATTACAATCCCCATATTCCAGATGACACTTACTTTTATGGAATAGGCCTTTTCTTCTACTGTACAACAAAAAGCCTCTTTAGAAGAATATTGAGATATCAACTGAAAATCACAATAAAAACATCTGTTCTAATTCTCTCTGCAACATCTTTTGACTCATCAAAACATATAGGAAAGCATTCACTTACAAATCCATTTAATTCTTTAGTTATCCAAAAGAAGACCCTCATAAAATTTGCCCTAATCTTTTATTTTGCTTTTGTTTCTTAGAAGACTCTAAAGGTTCAAGGGAAGACTCGGTAATCAGGTAACAAAATGTTTTTCATTTTCTCCACTACATTTCTTCACAGTTCTGTTTTTCCTTCTTAAATCAGCCCTCCCCCCATTTGCAACCTGTTGTGCGTTCATACGAAGTCTTTGTTAAAGGTCAGGATGAAATTCAAAGGCACTGTTATTAAACAAAGTGAAGTATTGCCTAATTTCCATCTAAATTCTTTCATTATTTACTACCACCTTACAATCAAAGGGGCAGAATTATTCATGATAATGAAGTACATTATGGAAGTCATCTTTCAAGTGGTTAAACTAATTTAAACTTGATTCATTGTCTTGCAACAGTTTGCACACACTCTTAGAAAAGATTAATTGTGATTTACCCATTTACTATTTCTAAGGAAGTCTGAACTGTATCTTTCTGTCACTGCCCAGGAATGCTGGATTTGCTGTGTTCCTACGATTAAAACAGATCATTCCAGGTTGTAGGGTCCAAATGTGCTCTGCTGCAGGGTACATTTAAACACTGAGTTTTAAAAGACCTCCTATAACCTGGAAGATGGATAAAGGCTAAAAAACAGCAAAAATCCTTTCCTTCAGAAGCTCATTTCAGACAAAATGCTCTTCTCATGTATGTAAACCTTCCGATGTAAGAAACTGATAGCAATTGTAAATGTATTGAAGCATAATTTTCCTATGTGTTTTGTGATTTTAAAAAAGCATTCCTGTTTACATGCAAATTTTACCTGACAACATTTGCCTTTTTTGTGTTGTTTTTTTCTCTGAAAAAGCATAAGCAAATTAAATTGAATTTGCTGGTCTTGAGTCTTCATTCTGTATACAACAGGCACGTATTTAGAGTCAAGTTTGATCAGTACATCAAGACATGGTCAGATTTATTTTGGTGTGACAGAGCAATCTCCACTAATTTTGGAAGCTGGCATTAAGCCACAGGGAAGATCTACTGCTCTAGTAAACACTGCAACCTGAAGAAAATACTTTCATACTTAAATCTAACTATTCCTAGGTAACTAGCAAATAAAGGCTGTTAAATCCTAGCTGGAGATACACAAACATGCTACTTTTCTGTTTTTTCCCTCTCATGTCCACTAAAGATACGTGCAATTGTTCTAGGTCTCCAATTAAAATTCCTCAAAGCAAAATGGCTGAGAGAAAGCTATTCACAGCAGCAATTAAAGTCTCAACGTTAATGAGGGCTCAGTCTTAGAAGAAGCATGAAAAAATGCATCCTGAGACACAACCAGTGAGAACAAAGAACAACAAAATCCTGCATCAGAGCAATGGGAAGGCATCTGAAGGAATGTTTTCACCAACATACATGACCTCGACATTGATGGTGCCTCATTTTCCTGTATCCTATGCTAAAATAATCCTTAAGTGAGACCTATGAGACCTGCTTAATAAACTACTCACCACCATAGAGTGTTGAAAGCTTAAAAAATTGTCTTATTTCCTTGAAAATAGCAGTTAAAGTTTTTAGGTAGAAAAAATATACTCCAGGTCTTTCATTTATATGCACAGGAAAAGCCACTACAGGAATCACCAGGCAAGAACATACACTTATTTACTTGAAATAGATTTTTGTTATCTTGGCTCCTCCTTCAACCTTCCAAACCAACCCAAAAAGATGATTCTCTTGAAAAGTCACTGAAAAAAAAAAAAACATAATTCTTAATGCAGCAAAGTAATTTCATTGCAGAGAATTCCTCCAGAATCTCCCCTTCGGCTTAAAGTAAGCTATGAAAATAACACTCTGCTTGGGATAGAAAATAGGCTTTTGTAAGGTCCTTACAAAAGATACAAGAAAAATAAATGATACCAATAATGTTTTGTATTTCCAAAATTTCTCATACTGACTCAAAAGTATGTTGCTCTCAGGACACGACAGCAATACTGGTAGAAAGAGCAGTAAAATACTGCAAAATTACTCTGGAGTTGAAGACTATTGGCTGATAAAACTTGCCTGGATCAAAAAGCCTGTGTCTTAAAATAAATCAAAGACATATCTGTGCATTTGTGAGCTTTATTTTGAGGTCCTATTCAGCAGGTGCAGATCTGTTTCATCACTACCAAACCTCTTCTGAATCAACCATCTACTGCAAGTCTCAATACTGCTTTCTCTCCTTACAACCTGCACCACACTGCTCACATCTCACACATCTAGGAACACAGAAGATAGTGTGCATGGTTAGGGTGTGCGTGGGGGGTGTTCAAAGGTCTTTCACAGCATATTTTTCCCCTTCAACAAAATAGAGTGCCTATCATAACAGAGGGGAAAAATAAACACTAACAAAACCAATAATCCTTCTGTACTGGATTTTTGGAATATTTTTCACTCTGTTGAGAGATTAAGTAATTTGTGCCTCACAGTTTTAAAGTCAAGTGTTTGGGGATGTTTAGGTTACCTTTCCACCAAAACTGTCAGCTCTGGAAAAGATTTAAAAGCTCCAGGCAAACAGATCCTATGCAGTAAGACAGAACTGGCAGCATTTTACTGACTGTGTGCCAAAATGACAACATCAGCCTGTGAGTCAGCCACAGGTCTCTGCGTTTCCTGGCATGCTAGGAGGGAGGAAAAAAACGACAGAACAGCAATCATTTTTAGTGCTACTACATGGTGATCAGTGAAGATCTTACTTATACTGCCTTCATGCTCAAAGTTACATCAGGAGTATCTCAAGTCTTACATTAGTTTCCCAGTGTTTTCTTACTTCACCTTCTGTTGTGTGAGATAGAGCCAAAGAAAGTTGCTCCATGGTTTATAAATTCAGCACAGCCAGCACAGGCTAATACAATAAAGTCAGTGCCACAGTGTAACTTGTCACTTTCAGAGCATGAGATGAAATGATGCCATCTGTGAGAGAAAACAAAATGGGGAAGTGAGTCACTGCACACTCTGGTAAAATGCTGGAGCTGGAGAGAAAATGACGGAGGAAGGGCAATCAGAAAGCTGAGCTCTAGTGATTACCTCTTAACTCATATAAAGATAGCTTGTTTTAGTCTATACAAGTGTCACATCACAAACCTGTTATACACATCTGCACTTTTATGGTTGTTTAGCTGATGTAATAAAACACACCTGCATTGTTATGACTGTATTTAACTGAAAGCTCTGTAATAGTAGGGCCAATGATACATATTTAAAATTAAAAAATATTCAGCAAGTTCAAATCAGTGTGAACATATAATAGATCATTAATTAGTATTCAATTCACTATGAAAAAAAATACTGAGTAAGTAGTGAATAAAATCAATTCTTTGCTACTTCAGGTTTTCTGCATCTGAATCATTTTGTATGAAGTTATCTCAAAAATGAAAACCTATCACAATGCCTGTAACTCAGAAGAGGTTCTGATTTTAAAAGGTCTCCAAATTCTATTCACCATTTTTCTTTCGGGCGATCCAATTTTATGTCAGGAAATAAACATTTCATGATATCCAACATGTGGTATAAAATAGGATTCATTATTGAAAAAGGAAGTATAGTTTTTGAAATGTTTTAACTAACACACCTAAAAAACATGCTGTCACATATGGTTCAACTTGTTCACAGATACTGAATTGGCAAGGTTTTATTCTCCTCTGCTTATAGGCAACAGAAAGATGCAGCATTAACTTTTATCCACCAGGACTCCAGATCTCTACAGCAGATTTCTGATGCACTTCCAACTGTAGTTCAAATGTATAGAACGTTAAAGATATTACCAGTGTAATAAGCAACACAGAGTCAGTTGTCCAGATCAGTTTGTAATAGGTGACAGTAACTTTTACCATATTGCAATAGGCTGCTAAAGAAGATATCAGCAATCTATTCGTTGCACATGATTACTCCAGAAGGGCTTTCATTCCTACATTGTTCATAATAAGTGTAAAAAACAGACCACAGTCCTAAACTACAGGGTGTTCTTAGTTAACTATTACCAGCTTCCAGTAACTCAGAAGAATGCTTGCACAATTGTCACTTAACTATATTGTAAGATAGTTGTAATATATACGTTCACATCAGGTGGTTGAATTCTGTAAAATCAGTTTCTGCTATTTGCACAGATATTTAATGATTCATTCAACAGCATAAAAAGGAATCAGATTACTAAGTCCTTGCTTGATGTTGTAAATGTTTACTTTTTCTTTTAGGTCACATGGTGTTCTTCACTTATCTTACTAGTTTCTTACAGAAGCACTGAGAAAGTACTTCCATTCACCTACGCCACACTAAGCTGCAATTGCAGACCTCCAAAAAATATAAAGCCTCTTTTCGTATCTCAATAATGAACAGACAAATGAAAAATGGATACTATGTTTGTTTTAACAAGATATAATAGTACACGGTTTCTATTTCTAAGCAGCTTAATACAGTACCGTTTTTTTTTCCCCCACCTGCACCTATTAATTCCACATAATGAAACTAAAGATTCTACTTACCATTTAAAATAAAACTAATAAAACCATTAATGTGACCAAATAATGTGATCACCTTTGGTACCATCACACAGTTATAGAAGGGTTGCGGGTACTCAGCTAAGTCCAAGCCAGGTGTGTTCCACGTGCAAAAGGAATAGTGCTGGGCTGAAATCACTGCAGCGGAGAGGAGCTGACATCAGCTGGTGAGTTGCAACCTGTTAACTTGCAGATAATGTCATTTTTTTTACTGATGCCAGCCCCTTTTCAACTTCAGATTAAGTGTCAAAGGAACCAGAAATAACTGTCTCCTCTACTCAAGACATCATCAGTTAAATGTCCCTTTTCAATGGCATCATAAGCCCATGTTGGATAGCCAAATAATTCAACAGAAGTCAAGGTCAAAAATAGGGAGGAGAGAGGAGAAGCAATCAAGTAGGGAAGGTATTGACATATTACAAGTTACCTGGACCTTGTGATCCAAACAGCCAAAATGAAGACAATTTGGAACATTTACAAATTATTTCAAAGAAATTCTGAAATATGTTAGAAAGTGACAGAAGACAAAAATCAAAATGAAAACAGAATAACATTTTGGATTGCCAGTAACACTGTAATAGAGTATAACCTTTCCATAGACGGCATGCAGGTACACTCGTTTCAGAGGGAAAATACTAATCAACTAGACAATTATTTAATGTAGATTAATAGTTAAAAAGCCCTAAATTGTAATGTATAAATGAAATTATTGATATTCACTTGCTAAAAAAAAAAAAAAAAAAAGTCCCCTAGTATCTTCTCTAAATATTGCCAGAATCTGATTAACTTTATTGCCAGACTATTTACATTTATTAATGGAAGAATTAGACTCACAGTAACAGGGCATGAAGAACACAGGCAGTGAAACCAGTGCTTGAACTAGAGGCCTTTACCATTACGTTTTTCTAACCTTTTTCTGTTTATATTCATTGTTTTCTTCTTATCTACAAGAATTGCCTTGGTGACAGACTAGAGCAACATTTCCCTGTTCTGTACAGTCCACACCCAACTTCCTCTCTTCTGGCTGCCCACACTGCTTGTTCTATGTGCTCGGCAAACTTTCACTTTTTTAACGTGAAAAAATTCACATTATCTGTCCATCTAAATGTCAGGTCTATGCATTCACCTTACAGACCTCTTACAGATTTACCTAAAAAGCCAATTCTGTAGCTCCAAGTTTCTGCGCATCCTGTGACATTTAAATCATCTGAGAGCACATAAGGGAAGTCTGTGGTAACTACTGCATGAAATTACGTGGAAACTACTGCATGATCTCAATTTTATTTTAGAAATTTCCAGCAGGATTCTAAAACCTGAACTCTCATCTATACCAATATGCCTGTCACTGCTCTCACAAAGACCACATACTGATACCACTGCCCAGTTAGTGAACTTCAATAATTTCATTTTGGAATTTGCCAAAACCTACAATTTCAGCCAAATAGGTTTGCTGAAAATCCTGCAAGCTGTGGTAGAGAGAAAGCCTGTTAATGAAGAGCACAGTATTTGAGCTACCAAAATCCTCATGTAATTCAGACTCTCATGCCCCATCTGGGGCTGTTGCATGGCAGTGCCTCAGTAAAAATTCACTTTCTTATCTCTATTAGAAAAAAAAAATGTTGTTCACCAGCATTAAACATACGGAATAGCATCAGAGGCACTGCACCTGCTATCCGTACCAGTATGGCCAGCACTCCCAACCTGCCTACTCCACTGCCCCATTTGAGTGAATGATTTTCTAAGCAGATGGTTACCACTGTTAAACAGATAAATTCTAGCCAGCAGAAAGCATGGAGATTGGGATCACTGCCATGGCGAAAAATTGAATGATCTGGAAACAATATTATATATGAATTGACATTCTATTAAAAAAAATACAACTTAAATTTTTAGAGCCCAATATGCTCTGTAAGGAAAGGAAACTTAAGGTTTCCTTTCTTATTCCTGAAACTTTGCAATCATTATGTTTCTGAACTGTATTTTTTCTCATTAGTCTTCTAGTTCCAAATATAATCTTCTATCTGGCAGCAAAGACAGCAAAACATTTGTTTCCTCTCAGTACAGCTGCAACCATTTGGATTTTAAAAAAAATAGTACTGAAGATCCAACACTTCTCTATCACATTGATTTTTCCAAGACAACATGGATGTTGGGTTTTTTTTCTCGTCTACTTTTGAGGGGGAAAATTAGGAGCAAAAATATATTTCCTGTGTCTGCTTTTCTCTTCTCATCCAAACTGATAGATGACATTTGATTAAACTCCAGACTAACATATTACGAAGCTTTTCTAATGTATGCTCCTAAAAACTATGTATTTTCTCTTTTTTATTCTTCATCATGCAAATATAGTAAATACACAACGCTTCCTTCCACACAACAAATGAAGGACATACATGCTGCAGAAAATATAAATCACCTGAATCTCTCATCAAAATAAAAAGCATTTTCATATGAAAGTATACTGTAGTATTCAAAGACACAGCAAGAACAAATGTTCTTGATAGCAGATAAGAGCTAAATAAACCCCAAATCATGTCATTACATTTAAACACAAAGATAACACTGGAGAGTTCATTGTGGTCTTTTATGTAGAATCTCTGAAAAACTAAACAAATATGTTCCCTTTTCCAGATACATGACAACACATTGGAGGTGGTACAACAAGTTAGAAATGAAATACCACAATACTTACTTGAAAGAAACAAGTAAACAAAACTGTGTCAATCCACAAACAGGGCAATAATAATTCTATACTAAAATGCTGCCTATGCAAAAAATGTGGACAATTAGAAGGTGAAAAAGCTTTAACTTCAGATTGAAGTTTATTCTTCTATACAGAGTATCAAAACAATAATAATGACATATTAGTATGGAAACATGGCATTGTACATACATAATCACATTCAAGCACTGGCAGAAAATGTAAGTTAAAGGAACAAACATACCTGTTTACTAATGGTTCATGCAGTTTTCCTTTCATGTCATCATCCCACTTGGAAAAAACTTCAAATCTTGAAGGCCTTTCCTCACCTAAAACAACACAGTATTCTGACAGTGCCTCAACATGCTGAATAGAGGACCGCATCCTGCCTCTGAGTAAAAACCAGTGGTGTGCTGTTCCTTCAATTTACAGTTCAATGTCTGTTTTGCCTTTGTTTTTTTTCTAAATCACATTGTAGGCAAGAGATACAAAATTCAGGTATCACAGCTGCTTTTGTATAGTATAGGATTTCTATTCTATCATTACGTAATTAGTATACTCCAGGACACAACATTATTACTAACACATTATGTCCTATAAAGTGATGAGCAAAATCAAGCTTTACAACAAGCTCTGCAACCTTTAGAACCTTATTAAATTGACATTATTTACTTGACTGTTCATCACCCTCTGTGAAGTCTTATTGCTTCATTAAAATTAAGTTATTCTACTGTTTGACAACTTCATACAGTTAAGAATACAGTTATGACCTTTTCCCTGGTCTCTTTTCTTCAATTATTGTTTTTTGATAGTTCTGTCATGATGCATTTCTCAAAATTATTGTATAATTTGCACAATTCAAGTCACTTTGCTTTTTGACCGTGCTCCGTGGCCCACAGTAGGAACACACTCCAATTCTCTATTATCATATTCTGTTTATATTCTGAAATGACAGAAGTCAAATGTATGCAAATGGCAATAAAATCTGCAGTCTTCAAAGCAACTGCTCAATCTCCTAATTACTTTCACTTCTTCACTTGCATCCCTTCCTGCCCCCCAGCACCACACATGTTCCTGTGACCCTATCCCCCAGCACAGTATCAGGCACCTAATGAGGTGACACTGTCAGTGCTCATCCAGTTTTCCTCCCCCAGCTTGCTGTCAACAAGATCATTGGTGTTAGCAAACATACTAGTTTTTCCAGCCCCTCATATTAAATATAATCCATCATATGTGAAATTTCTACAGAAAACCCACATGGCTGAGGTAACAATCTCACATCCTCATTTTCAGTTAGGTTTACCTAGGGTAGAAATCTCTGAACACAATCAACACTGACAAGTTCTTTGCAGTCTAAGCTGAGGCTCTTGAGTAAAAATCTCTTGTTTACTAAGCAAATAAGTTTTTACAGTTAGATTCTGTATTCTCAGTATTGAGTTAATAGAAGCAGATTAAAAGTAGCAGTTTCTATCTTCTGTGCATGCCATAATGCATTAAGTGTATTGAAATAAAATATTTTTTGTACTGAAAAAGCAGCAACTTCAAATGTCATGCTGCAATTTTTAGACAATGGTAATCATTCTTCTTCAAAATTAATCATGCAAAATTTTTCTAAAAACAGACTTGAATTGTTAATTTCATTCCATGCAGATAACAGATACTTCATTTTAGTTTTGCACAGAATTCCAGTTTTACTTTTTGAAATACCAAACCAACATGTCAGCCATGAGTGAGCTAACAAAAGAGTGCAAGAGGTGGAGAGGGATGAAAATTTGACTACAGTCTAGACTATTAGAGTTCAACATTCAGCTGAATATACAGCATTACTTGAGTAAAAAAACAATATCACTAAAATGTGATCATGCTATAGCTGTATTTTGTGATGTTAATGAAAACATAACCACATCAAAGGAATGCTTTCTGTTTCCAAGAGATAAACGTTTCAAGCTTTGTTTTCAATATAGGATTCTACATGGCAGACAGGACTGAGTACGCCATGCAAAGGCAAGTTGTTTGGTTGTTGGGTTGTGTTTTTTTTTTAATAAATATACAGTATAACTAGCAAAGGAGTAATTATCATCACCTAATCAACAGAAAACAAGGTGATTAATACATTTTATATGTACTAAAACTAGTCTGATATGCTCTACTTGAACAGATTACTTTCCTTACAGGTTTCTCCAGTACAAATTCTTGAATGAGTATCAGAATATAAAATACATCCATATCACCAGAGAGAACATTCTTCCTCTGGTATTATTGCAAAACTCTATTTGAGAAACCACCACACTGTCCCAAGAAGGACGAACCTTACCAAACATGTAACAGTTGTTAAAAAAAAAAAAAAAAGCATTTATTTTTGTATTAAAATATCCTTAAGCATCTATGGCCAGACCACCTCCATGCAGCTCTACAGCACCTATTAAGAAGCCTTCTTCCAATAAAAAAGGAATTAACCCCATAACAAGCTAAATATACTAACAAAAATAGCTACTAAGCATGGAGACTTGATTCACTGGAATAGTTTCAGAAATGTGAATTATCTGTGCACAAATGCCCCTCAGAGCTAGATTTGTTTCTTTAAGGAAGATAACTTGTCAATATTATTTGTTTTTAAATCAAAACAAGCATATCCAGAACAAGCAATGCTTTTACTTAAACTGCTGTGACAACAGGTTCAGCATTTTAAAACAACTGGCTAACATCTAGTGTTAAATATCCAAACTGTTGACACAGATTTGTACTGGCATAACTTATCAACTGCATTTTCCACAGATAGTTTTAACTATGGAAAGAGGTGTCTAGGGCACCACAGATACCAGCACGTTCTGTTTACTACTGTGTCCATGTTTCCATCCTGATGACAAGGAGTATGCCTCCTTCATCATTCCACTATGTGGGAATACACAATGGTTCACATCTTGGTATGATCTCAGTGTTATTAACGTGGATTCCATTTGGCTGAAATGAAGTCAGAATGTGAGTTCAAGGAACATAAATGATATACACTAAACTACTATGAAGGTTTTTTTTGTTTGTTTTTAGTATCTACAGAACAAGACTATTTTCAAGTAACATTCTCTTCCCACCCTGTAAATAAAGGGATATCATTTCTACTATGTTAACTCACTTTATATTCACCACTATTGTTGCTGATGGTCACATAGCCAAACTCTGATTGTCTTCTGGAACATCTCCAGGATTTAATTTACTTTATGAAAATCTTGGCACAATTTCTAAAAAAAACATAAATAAATTAAGCTTGCTTCAGCCATCTGGATGGACTGCAACAGTACATCAACAATTGGTGCTAATGTATTTAAGAAAAAGTAAATTGTTTGCAATGAATCTGCTTCATTCACTAATCTGCTGCTGCTAAGAAAAGGTTTTATTATATTACTCCTACTTCCTGCACAAAACCCACAATTGCATGGAGGATTATCCAAAGAAGTGAAACAGTTTTGCACCTTTGTGCTAACATACGCTTCTGCTATGACCATATTTTCCACACTGGGAGGGAAAGCTTCATTCTTTGAATTACAAACACAACTTCAGTATTTCTTCAGTAAGTAGTCACCTTCTTTCATTAATGTTTTCTGGAAATGGTTACATAGTTTTCTTCCCCTAAAATAGATCAAAACCAAACCAAAAAGATTTAAATTGGGTTAAAATTTCAACATTGAAATTAATCCTCTTCCTCGTCTGGAACCGTGGAGCTTTCCATAAGCCCCAGGTGGCTTCCTTGTCAGACTGAAGTATAAATCCCAGTAACTTGCAGTCATAAATTGATACTTTTCCAAAATACTCCACCCCAGCTGTTAAGCAACTCTTGTATTGCCACAAGAACAAATACAGTCTTATGAAAAGGTCCTTCAAAACACTTCCAGCTTGGAGGCATTTTTATTACTTATAAGAAACTTCAGTTACAGTGACCTTGATATTTTTCTGGGTTTTTATTTTGTGTTGTCACTCCCATTGAAAAACATGGCCTCCTCTGTTTGCTTGGGGAAAAAAAACAAAATCAGTTTTCTCTGAGAAGTAATATAGGATTATTCAAGCTTTTCCATTCTATGCATGTTGTATGAGTTCCATCAAATTAACTTTTCATCACAAGGATTTTTATTATGTTTATAGTTTCTGAAACAATTCAACTTCTGACTGATATTTGCTGTTGAAGTGTTGATATTTCAGTTGAATAGTTCCATCAGCTCTCAAGTTTCTAACATATCAAAATATGACTTTAAGATTCATATTTTAATACATACTGGTTTTATGTAGTATTTTTTATTTTGAAAACAGGTGTAATAGTTCAGATCATGTGTTCAATGTGAACTTTTGAGAAGTGAAAAAAGACCATAACACTGTTTTTTCAATAGGAATATGATAACTCCTTCATTACTAGTTATCTTGTGTGATATTACTCCAATCATTAGCAAAAAAAAGATATTTCAGTAGACAATAGTTAATATGCGACTGTTTCATTGCTTATTGTGATAATTTCATCAGTATTTTCCTGACACCTCAAGTGGTAAAATAGACATTTTCAGTCTCTCTCAGTGCAATAAACTGCAATTATCATTCTTAACTCCATAAAGCTCAAATGTGCTTCTTTTTCCTTACCTGGCAAAATGACTCCCTTTCTTCCTGTATTTGGCACTTGTCCTTGCTGACCAACCTGTAGGAAAGAAAATTGCAATGTATTAGTATATTTACAGGTTCAATGATGAACAGTATACCAATGTGTGCATTCTGTACCTATGGCGTACTTAAATTAGTACAAATTGACCCCTTTCCCAAACCACACTGGACAACTCAAAAAAGCAGATCCTACTTCAAAAAATCCTCCGCCTTACAGCTTTCACAGGTCTACCTTGCCTCATGTCATCAATGCTGGCAGTGCCATTGCCTCTGAGAGTGATGTTCTTACAGTCCCTGAAAAAAGTTCTCTAGCAGTACAAGTCACTTAAATGGTAATTTAAAAGCTCCATCATGTTAGCAAAAGCAAACACTGAAAGTTTTCATTTATCCCCTGTTCTCAGAAGAAAAAAAGATTTTTCATCAGAGCGGGCACTAGTAACCATTTACATGTAATTTTGATTTCTCAGTAAATAGCAATAACTGGAAAACACCTAACAAAAGAAAGAAACTCAGATTCTATGAAGAGAAGCAGCAATGCACTAGTAGAACTAAAGTTACAAAACTCCTGACGGTAAATTTCTGAGAAAAAACAGCTGCCTTCCAATTGCAAGTCTCTGACACAAATGTCCACGTGTCTCTGCAGCTTTATTACTCTCTTTTGTTGCTATTGTTGTATTTTTTAAAGGTTTCTTCAAACATTCAGTTCAAATTGAGACATTTTCCTACAGTGTGTAAAGTTACCTGTCAGAGAATAATTTACAATTTTATAACTGTTTAGCCTCCCAATTCCACTGCTTAAATCCAAATATAAGCTAATGGCTTCAATTTTATGAAGCTTTTGAAAGCAATATCTAATCTCAGCCAACATGGAATTTTCTGTATTGCATTTTTATTTCATCTTCATCTATATGCATCACTGATTAGTTGTTCCTTTTTTTCCCCAAGGTGGTTTTTGTACCTTGCTTCTACCTGGTGTTTTGTCTTTTTTTTTGTTTTTTTTTTTTTTTTTTTTTTTTTTACAAGTAATTTGCAAGAAATGAGGAGGCTTCAGGAATGCTTTAAGCTTTGTCTTTCTGACTGAGTGTCTTTTTTCAATCATTTTTTTTAAACAGAAACAAGAGATGTGAGTTAAAGACAAAACTTATGTTTTAATGGGTGTATTTACGTTACTTAATGCTTCTGTGCTACTTCAAATATTTTAACTCTTCCAGCATGCTTAATGGAGAGAAACCATTTTCTTTATTTTGTTATTTTTCCTTCAATAAGTACCTCTGTTGATATGCTGCAGGTTCCCTCTAAGAATAATTTAAACTCAATGAAGCCAATGATATTTAATAATTGCACATTCATTTCATATTTCCAGCATCAATTGTATTCTAATGTATACTTGTAGAGTGTGTTGAGACATCAGATTGATATTCCAAGTATGTTTTCTCTTATTCTAGTTAGGTAGCTACAGACATCTGGGAAGAGCAACCTAAAGAAAGTGACTGAGCTAATTGGCATTGTTTCACAAGAAAGAGAAGTCAAGAGAAGTATATAACTGTCTAAATACACGACAGGCTGCTGCTACAAAAAGGAGATACTTATCTATTGCAATTTATAGATAGCAATGGGTTAAAATGCAGCAGAGAATTTTTAAAGGTTAGACAGAACTCCACCTTAGTACCTTTCAATGCTAACCATACTCCAGTCCTCTGACAGAACATGGAGATGCTTTAACCTTTATTGAATATAAATAACAGCCATAGCCCTCTAAGAGAGAAAACAAGTATTTTGAGGGTTGTTCACTGATATTTCCTTCTGACTGCATACTGCATAGTTCTAAAAAAATTAATTAGGAAGTCAGGCACCAATACATAAAGAGTAATTAAACTAACTCAAATAGTGAAATTTAAGATACCTTGTCATACTATGATAGACAAAACAGTATCACTACTGTGATTGAACTTTCAATCACAGTAAAAATGGTTATCCAGTGATGGGTCCTTCATTATTAGAAGAAGTATGGTCTTCACTGAACATCTTCCAGTTTTTGTAAGGAATGGTTTCATTTTGGTGCTTTGCCCATTGCGCATACTTTGAAATCACAGTAACTATAATAAACACCAATTGTGATAGTTCTCTTAAAAAATTTGCTTTCCAACTTTGATACATTATGTCCACCTAAAATGCTAGACGTGACCAATCAAGGCCAAAAATTCACAAGGTAAGATACAGTATGAAAGATATTTAAATTTAAAAACAGCTAAAACAGAGTGAAAGCAATGTATCAACTTCACTACAACAGTCATTAGAAATCACAGAAGTACATATGAGAAATCACTTGAAAAGGTTCTTTTTTCTAAAAAAGTATTTCTGTAATTATGTTCTTTTTCATTTGTTGAAAAGCCTGGAAAGGCAAGTACAATTACATAGCTTCCTTAAGAACTACGCCCAATTATTTTTTTCCTTTAACTACATGAGTAAATCGTTGGCAATAAGCCTTCAAAATTAAAAGGAGGAACACTGAATTACGTGCAGAACAATTTAACTAAGACTGCTCAAGCAGCACACAGGAATAAGAATCTAAAGTTAGAATTTTATTTGGTCTCAGGTTTTTAAGTTGTCAGATAACATTCTATCAGATGCTGAATCTGTAGGTGCTCTGCTGCTAGGTGCTTCACACAATGCCCCTTCCACAGATACTCCCCATATTCAGATTTCCATTTAACAGTTTAAAAAAAATTAAGCACTACAGGTTCTTATCATACCATTTTAAAGTCCAGATAGACAGCTTCCATAGAAAAATATGACTGTTTATTATAAGTCCATAGACAAAAAAGCCCAAGTCTGTTCCCTTTGCTACTGATGTCCTCATTCTATCACTGAAAAAAAAAAAAAATCCACTTCGGGACTTATGTTGAACAGAAATAGCGATAATTAAACAGTAGAAAAGAGAAAAATTAAATAACTCAGCTTTCAGCAACAAAAGCAAACAACAACAAAACATAAGAATACTGATACATAAGTTTAGGTGGCACAAGCTTTCCACATGGCTCCTCAAAACATCAAAATACACCACCATCTAAATTATATTGTGCGCATTAACAAAATAGAAGTCACCTTGTAACAGATGATAACAGGGTGCTCTTTGGCAGTGTTTTGAGCAGCTGCTCGTTCACAAAACACAAAGATTGTGCTTCTACACCCCTACAGAAAAGTCGTAACAGTGCCAACAAGATATAACTAGAATGGAAGTACTTAATGAGAATGTCACTCTAAGCTATGTTAAGTAAAAATGGACTTTTAACAAAGGATAGAAGTAGCCTAGCAGCATAAAAGGTAACCCAGTTGTCCATCCATCATTAGGAAGAGGTAGAAATTATTCAATACAGAAATAATAATTGATCATTTGAAGGTCTTTAAAGGAAATAAGCGGAAAATTGGAGTTGTATATATTTAGTAGTAAGACACTTAAATGCTTAAAGCTTAAATGAACAATTATTTCTGATCTTGAAAAAGCAGAGCTCTCTTATTCATACTATCAGGAATCATTATAATAATGTTATAATGAGCCACCTGCAAACTTTCTGAAACTTTTCCATTCCTAGACATACTTATGAGTCTATTAATGCCAAGAAACCTGAAAGCTAGAGATTTCAGGGAGATTATAACAGAATCAGAGAGCTTCCCACCTGTGTAAAACCAGCTCTGAAGTCACACCATCACTAGGAGTGACAGGAGATCATTACGAAGTCAGAATGTTTCATTGATGAACATGGAACACTTTGGTAGTCTCATTTGCTTGTATCATCTGTAATGCTAATTGGCTCCTGTCTTGGTAGATTCAAATGAATCTAAGTAATGAACATGGAGACTGAATTGCATTTCATTCATTTTGTAGGTAAAGCGTTTAAGTCTTCATAACCAGCCCTGCAAATTCTTTTACAGTTTCCAATTTAAAGAAAAAAAAAAAATCTCAAATCTAACACTGATGAATCACACAATTTCATATTACTACTTTTTACCTAATCCAATATTCACCCCTTCTGTGAGATTCACACAGAACCAGTTTTACCTCCTTCCTACTCTCCCTCCCTCCCTTGTTAGAGAAGTATTTGGAATAGACCAAACTATCCCTGGGTCTGCAGAACAGGGATCAGGGTGGGTAACACCAGTGCTCCCTGCAACTGTTAAAGACTGAAAAGTTTACAAAAGGAGCAGTCTTCCTGCTGTCACCATAAAAACAAAAAAAGAAAAACAAACAAAAAAATAAGTTCACATCATTTCTCAAATGATGACAAAATGTTTTCACTGTAAATAGGTCAGAGTGGCATTTTGACATTTACACAAATGCCCAAGATGAAAAACCCTGCGTGAAGCGGCAGGTACAAGAACACTTGTGTTAGGAGACAAGTACAGGAGCTCAGGTCACAGGGAACATTTATCTGTGCTTGTTGAGGTTCTGTGGATTGCTCAGAATGGAGAGAATTTCTACGGGAACAAAGTCTGTGCAGGAGGATGATAATTCTAGATGCAGGAACAGGTAAGGAGAAAAACTAAGTACTCTGTGCTTGCAGGATTTCACAGGTGACATTTTAGACACCTGAGTCATTCCCCAAAAAAGGATAAGGCACAGAATAAAGTCCATAGGGCCAGCCATCAGAAAACTGAATTTTCCACCAGATATACAGACTAGTTGATGATTATGTGTCTCTTTCACCATAGTGGTAGACCTGGCTTCTAGAAATGTGAAATTCAAGTTTAAATGAAATCATCTGTTAACCATACAGCAGCTAACCTAGCCAGCTCCAAATTTTTGCACTTTGCATTTTCAAGAGGTTTGTACTGTGCGGAATAACAGCTCCGAACTTGTCTAACAACCACTGAAGTCTGAAAATATAAAAGGAATTTTTAAGAACTTGCGATTTTGTATTAAAAGCAGAGCAAATAGCATCAAATCCAGATAGTGTCTTTAAGTGAGATGAAGCAGTAACTGTTCATTCAGTTGGGGAGAATAAAACTCCCTCTTCCTTCCCCCAAAAA